AGACCCGCGGAGCGTTACCATGGTAACCGGGTCTCGCGAGAGTTATTAGAAGAGAGAAGACAGGAGGAGAAGCTGTGTGTTGCCTGGGCCCCCTCTGCGGACGGTAACAGGGAGCCGGGGGCCCGCGGCTGCACACATAGATAGCGAGATTCACTATCTATGTGTGCAGAGAGGGAAAGTGGGGCCCAGGACTGCCAGAGCAATCCGGGCCCCCCAGGGCCGCCGGGCCCGTGACAACTGTCACGGTTGTCACCCCCTGATGGCGGCCCTGCAGACGGGCATTCCCTCCAATGGGCATTGGAGCAACTAAATGACCTCCATTTGTCTAAATATACATAGGGATTACGGAGAGAGCGCAGGTAACTTTTTATTTTCTTTGGTTTTTCCTTTAAAAATGAATTCTACACACAAACAAATTAAAAATCCTAGTACCGATGTTACATTTCTTAAAAAATACATAGGCATAGCATCATATATTATTATTTTTTTAAATGAAAGAAATCTAAGCATGTGGACACCTTACAGCTTATTTTGTGCAATGTGATTCATGCAAGACTTTTTTTAATATCTGTTGCTGACATGGTGAGAGTGTTTTTGTGTTAAGAGTGGACTTGTTGAATATTAAGCAGGAATACTAACTAAATACATAAATTCATACAAGAATGAAAGATTGAATATGGTGTCAAATGCAACCTATTGGATGATTAAGTATAAAGTCCAAAATGAACTCACTGACAATAGAAGATTCGGTACACTTTTGGGATATGCCCAGTGACATAACTAATGTCGAGGGCATTATTGCAAGAGATGTAGAAGTGGCCAAAAGATAAATTATCTATTGCATTGATCCCATGATGCATTGCCACCTGGGAATCTACTACCTTTGCAGGGTTGTATTTTAAGCATCCAGGCACAGTTTTTTGCAATCCCGGTCTGTTTTGCAACTGAAATCTATGCCAAATTCAGGCTCAGTTGTATACTGCTCCACAAACACCCAGGCATTGTTACATACAGTAAGTAATGTACAGATTTTGCAGTCAGAGTGGCCCCATATAGCAGCAAATGGATTTGCCCAATTTGTACACAGCCATTCAAACCTTACTGAATTATTTTGTCTATTGGCAAATCTGTTTCCACTCATTCATTATATTTTTTTTTTCTAAATTCCTATATTTTTAATTTTGGTGTTACCCAAATAGTACACTTGGTAAAACATCTGCTTGTTCTTGGTGATATACCAACATCTAATTTTTTACATCATAGAAGTATCATCAAAGCTGATGAGTGCATTGGTACTTTGTTAATTATGTGATGATATATGTTTTATATCTTGGTGAACTTTGACTTTAATGTTGTGATTGGGTTTCCATTTCAGTATCTCATCCATTTAGTGTATCTTAACCCAGCACTCAAAAATAAAAGTCAGCATTAACTTAGTGCAGATCCTCCGGGACTGATAAATGGGCTAAAGCCACATTTTGAAAAGGGGTCAATAACCTTGTAGGATTATGTGCTTGTCATTCCCCAGAATGATTAATCTAAATGAAAGCTTTTCTGCCTTTCAGCTCACTAAAAATGTAACATGATAAAGTAAGCAGTTACCCTAAAGGAATAACACATCTTTACTTAGATATGGTATTCTAGAATGAATGTTCTTTTACCACAATTAACCCTGAATATTTGCTCCCCATACAAGGTTACTGACCAAACCCAATGCGATGATCAGACTGGTGATACTATAGAATAAAGTTGTTCAAAAACCTATTATTCTTAAGCAATATGAATGCATAAACACATTTTCGCTAAATTTGCTCAGTCCTATCGTTTTCTTTTATAGAATTTTCTGTCAGTGAATGAGAATACACAGCGGAGGTATTAGTCCATACGTCCCAAATGTCCCTATTTAAGAGGGACAGTCCCTATTTTGATCCCAAATCCCTCTTTTTTATCCTTATGTTCCTATTTTCTAGGAGCTCCATATTATTGGTGTGTTTAAGTGTACAGCAGAACTCCACAACAATAATATTCACAGTAATGTGTCTTTAAACTACTATAAATATGTCTGTTTAAATAAAATACTTTGAACTGCTATAAATGACATTTCAGTCGCACAAATTGTTTTCAGAGCAGCCCTGCCTCTGGCCACACTCCTACTATGAGAGCGTCCCTCTTTGGCCTTTTGAAATTTTGGAAGGTATACTAGTCATTATCTAGAAAGTAAGATACGTCTTTTGATTCTCACTGTGAAATAATGAAGTGAGACATCCTAAGATAAAAATAGGCATGTGTGTATTACATTAAACTTACAAGTTTTGTTTCTGTTAATTGGGAAACAGTAGTATTGCTGTCATATTACAGGTTTGTTTTCTGGTACTGTAAGAGAGTGAAGATTTTAAACAGTCATAGTTGTAGCATTAAAACTAAACAAAATATCTCCTTGAAGAAAGCATATACCTTCATCAACACCATATATCTGATCAACAGAAGTGTAATGAACTTGTCCTAAATGTAATTACACAAAACTCCAAACTTACATATATTTTATTATAATTAAATTGTACCTTTTTTTTCTTAAAAAAAAATAATCTTATATGTATTCTATTGTATATTTTACTATTCTTTATTTTACATGCAGCAAAAATGATATAACAAAGAAACAAAGAAATATCTAGTCAAATCTTTCTGCAAAACATCACAATAGAAACTAGTACATATTTTATAGTTTTTCACCCAAATTAACATATTCACCAATAGTTTCATTACCAATGAATGGATAATGCTAAACCTTCTCATAAAGTCTCATTTATTATATATATCCTCTTATACTATAGCCAGTAAGATAGCTCTAGGGGCAATTATTCCTCTGTGACTCTTATCCTGTGATGGTTAGCCTCTTATTCTTTTGAGGTTGATAAAATAAGTATCTGATGTCCCAGTTTAGTAAATAAACCATGTTACTCATTCCTAATATTTCTATAACAATATATTAAAATAATGTGTTCATGTCTTGTAATGTATTAAAGATGATATTCTGGAAAAATAACACTTTTTTAAACTTTTATCCTCATTATTTTTTCATATTTGGCACTTCTTCATGAACCTTTGTTACATAAATTAATATTGATATCTCTCTCTAATTAGATCTTTTCCCAATGGACTGATTATTGCTAAGATAATTATGACTAATGTTTACACAGATTGAAAAATGTACTTGGATCTTTACACTTTTAATTTGTAAGTCTTAAGCTGATATAGATAACTTTGTGAGTGGTCCAACTTATAAAGGCCATTGAAGCATTCTCTTTGAGCGAACACGTCATGTAAAATATATGTTTCCAGTTATCTAACAATCTGGCTTGGCTAATGATGTACAATTAGGCATTTCTTTCCTAAATAATATTAATAAATCATATTTTAATTCTATTTCCATTACCCCTGTCTCCTGCTGAGAACATCAATCATGTTTTCAGTGGGTGTCACTCTTGCTGTAAGACACACCTCTCTTGCATAACACTGTTTGGGAAACACAGGCTTGCTTCCCATAACAGGTTAAAAGTCCCCAACATTTAATGGTTGCTTTATGGTATGTAAAGAAAACGTGTCAGTTTTATTTTTCAGTCTCAGATTTTCTGTCTATAGCTATTGCAATAAATAATTCTGGTTCTTTCTCAGAGTTCTGTTGCTGGTGCACTTACCTGTCCCTTCTCCTGTCCTCCCCTTGCAGATATTGCTTTCCCTTAGGCCAGGGGTAGGCAAACTTTGGCACTCCAGATGTTGTGGACTACATCTTCCCTGATGCTTTGCCAGCATTATGGATGTAAGAGCATTCTGGGATATGTAGCCTATCTACCCCTGCCTTAGGCTGAATTCAAGGATCTATGCACAGGATATGCATGGGGCATGGATTTGACTGACTGGAAGGGTCTGTTTTTTAACCTCTGATTTTAGAGAAATCTGGACTTTTGTAAGCATTTCTGCTGGCACATGTAAAGATGAAATTTGTTTCTCTATTATTTAAGATTAAGTTGTATTTGACATTACAGTTACCCTTTAAATAATACATCAAGTTAAAATGATATTGAATATTTCCAAGTCAAAAACAATAGGGAACATTTACCAATTTACCACCCACCAATTAGCTAACCCTCCTCCTGAATTATTTTTACACTGAAATGGTATGACCTATGACCTAAGTTACCTGGAAATGAAGTGTAAAGACTAATTCTGAAAGGGGTCCCAAAAGAAAGGAATAACTCCTGGCGGATTGGTCTCCATGCTCCTGTGCTTTCTCAAGTATGTGGGATAATATTAGTCCTCATAAATGTATATGAATCCGATCACAAATTTATTCCACTGCCCCGTGCTGTGCTATTGGAAATACTTATTGTTGCCCAATCACTTTAGCCAATTAAGGCCTTCATTAAATATTTTTGCATAAACTTTAA